ATCACTATGAGTCACAGGTGACTCAATGGTACGTAACAACAACAACAACAACAACGTAATCTAAATAGCACAGATTTTGGATTTCGACTAAACTCTTTGAAGGCCTGTCTGTAGGTCTTCCCATGTGATTGTGGGTAAGTTGTTTATTACCTCATCAGCCCTGATCCTGGCTTTTATTTATATCTGTGGGAAGACAAGCAGTAGGCATTATGCATATGGTAACTGACAATAATACTGTTATCAATATTAAAGTCTGTAGAAGTGATGAGGCTAATTAGGCAACTGTGCCTATTATCAATATCAATAAATATCACATGCAAAGTGACACTGCTTGAGTTTAACTCATCATTGTACATATATCATATATAAGAAGATACGTTTAAGTCTAAAATTTAGGATATTTTTAATCCTTCACAATTTATGATATACATATAAATAAAAAATAGGGTAATGTTTTTCCTTTGTGCAAGTAATTTTTACTTCCCTAAAATATGCCCTTATGGCAATTACTTTAAAGTTGTTGTTTTAATGTGTTCTCAAGTTGGAACTGACCCATAGCTGCCTCTCCAGCGGGTTTTCAGGAACAGTTAACCACATGAGAGAAGATTGCCCATCCTCCTCTCTTGGTACAGCTGGTGGATTCAAACCACATGCCTTCAGGATTGAAGCTCAGCTTCTTATCTCCGGGTCACCAGAACCCCCCTTACTTTGGAGTACTACACTATACTTTAGAATACTATGTCCTTATTTTCTCTTTTAAAGTATTTGTATAATTAATTTGTAGTTGTTGAGAATATATAGAGCAAAACATAACACCTATTCAGTGGCTTCTACATGTTCAATTCAGCTGGAGACATCAATAACATGCATAGTGTTGTGTAGCTGTTCTCACCATCCTTTTCTGAATTCTTTCTTCATCATTAACAAGGTTCTTGTCTAACCTTTCTAGTTGCTGTTGTCACTCTGATCCCATAAAGATAGATTTTTAAGAGTGTACTGCTCAAGGAAACATTCTTTATGATTTACGCTAAATTACTATTTGACTTTAAAAAAACTTTAGGGGATTGTTTTGATTTAAGGTTTAAAGATTAACTCTAGGAAATAGTTTTAGTGATTCATCAAGTCTCCATAGCTACCGAAAGACTAGATCCCATAAGAATTTTAAATGGAAAATAACCATGAGATATCATCTCACTGCAGCAACAATAGCAAATTTCAGTAGAATAACAATAAATGCTGGAGAGGTTGTGGAGAGATTAGAACTCTTATTCACTGGTGGTGGGAGTGTAAAATGGTACAACCACTATGGAAGGCTGTCTGGCACTTTCTCAATAAGTCAGAAATTGAAATACCATTTGACCTAGCAATTCTACAACTGGGACTATATCCTAAAGAAACCAGAGCCATAACTAAAGCAGATGTATTCACATCCATGTATATTACTGCATTCTTCACAATTGCAAAGAGAAGGGATCTGTGCCCATTAACAAACAAATGGATAGAAAAACTATGGCATGTTCATGCAATAGAATGGGTAGCATTGCAAAACAGCGTTACACATCATGGATGAACTTGGAGGACATTATGCTGAGTGAAATATCTCCGTCATAAAAGGATAAATTCTATATAACACCTTTGTTATAAAAATAGGACAGACACGGGGGGCGGGTTTGGGAGAGAATGGGTAAAGTATGGATAAATTATGAACACTGCTTTGGAATGAATGAGGGAAAGATCTGTCCAAAAGGAACATATAATTAGGCATTATATGTATGACAACAATCTGAAACTGAGTACATTGCAGAGTGGGCTAAGAGAGGGGGGAGAGGAGGGGACAAAGAAAATATGCAACGAAAGAAAGCAATTTAAAAAAGAAATATTAAAAAATAAAAATATAAAAGAGTTTTAAATTATGTTATGCATATCAACTCTTTGATCAGGGTTCTTTTATAAACTTTTTGTTAAAAAAAATGTTCAATATTGATGACTTCGCACCATTTGATTCTTCTGGTGTCATAGCAAAGAGAAGAGTTGTATCTGCAGGCAATTGGAAAATCAGTTGTCTCCTCCTAGAGTGTTCCTCCTCTGTTGTCCCAGACCAATTGATGTTCCTTTGAGAGCCACTTGCAAGCTCTAGAGACTCCGGAACCTTGAGCATTGAACCGGGGCATTGAATGAGACTATAGAACCACTAAACACATTATGAGGCCAATTAACTGGGGCATTTTATGAAACTATAACCATAGTTGCTGTGTACTATCTATCAAGTCGGAACTGACCCTCTTGCAGGTTTTCAGAGGCAGTTAATCGCACAGGAGAAGATTCCCCATCCTTCTTCCATGAAGCAGCTGGTGACCTCAAACTGCGTGCCTTTGGGATTGCAGTGCAGCTCTTTGCCACTAGGCCACCAGAGCTCCATAACTATAAGAACCAAGGAAACAAATCGCTTACAGTCATTGGTTATATATAAACAACGTCAAAAGATACTCAGTTTTGTTATTGTTGTGATGAACATATTTATGACTCAACTTTTAACAGTTCAAAATTTTCCATGTATACAGGTTACTAACAACAATTCCAATAATTAGCTATAGAGTCTTACTCCAAAATCACTGCATCTTTTTATCACCATAAACCCAAACTCAGTATTCCATAAGTAGTAACACACCTTCCCTCTCCCTCCCACCTCTGGTAACCATTAATAAACTTTGACCATGAAACATTTGGGGTTTTTCTTTATGTCTCTATATGTAAATGAAGTCATATAGCATTTGTATTTTGGTAACAGATTTGTTACACTCAGCATGACGTCTTCACGTTCCATTAATAGTAGCATGTACCCACACTTCGATTCTCTTATTACTAGCTGAGTAATATTCCTTTGCATGTTTGCATTACATATGGTTTATTCCTACACGTATTTATTGGTGGGCACCGAGGTTCTTCCCGCTTTTTAAACCCATACAGTCAGTCACTAGATCAGTGTTACCCTATTTGGTTTTCAAACCTAAAAGGCAGTTTGCAAATGGGACATTTAATGGCAGATTTGTAAGGAGTGAAATAAAGCAATTGACTGCTAACAAAAATGTCGGTGGTTTGAACTAGCTTCTCCTGTGAGGAAGTTGAGGTAGTCTGCTTCCATGGAGTTAGAGCCTTGGAACCCCTCGGGGTTAATTCTACTCTTTGTTCCAGGGTTATTACGAATCAGAAATAACTCAGTGACAGTAGATGGGGATTGTTTAGAAATACAGTGCATAAAACAAGATGTTTCTCATTCTTGATTTAAGCTCAGAGCTGTTTCTGTCTCTAGCAAAGAATTACATCCATTTTTTCCCCCCTTGGTTATGAGTCTATATTTTCCAAGGATGATGCCTTCAGTGATTCACCGAGAATCAAGTGGCTGGGCTCATATCCCCAAAGAACTGAGATTTGCACACTTACCCATTAGCACAGGGGAATAAGTTTTATTGTTATAGATATTTTTGATCAGAGGACCTCTAGCTACTGTTGTTGTTAGGCACTGTAGAATCAGCTCTGACTCCTAGTGACCCAATATACAACAAAGGGCGTTCCAAGGTTGTATGTAACTCTGTGGAAGCCGACTGCCTCAACTTCTCACAGGACAGGTGAGTTTAAACCCCTGACATTTTTGTTAGCAGTCAATTACTTTGTTCCATTTCTTACCCCACAATCATTGTGTCAGTCTTAGCTCATTGAGCGTCATCTTCTACTTCCCTGATCCTCCATTTCTCCAAGCATGATCTCCTTTTCCAAGCTCTGGCCCCAACCCCTCAAATAAGTGGATAAGGCCTCCTAGTATTTTTTATAAGAAGAGTCAATCTCTCAAAAATATATAAAGAGAAGCCATAATCATCAAGACACTGGCTATGCAGTATGAGATTACAATCATCTGGGCTCATGGGATTCCCTGCCCTGATTGGATTGAGAAGAAACAGATATAAACATGATATATCAGGAGCAAATGGCAAGAAGAAGTGTATATGGTAGAGTCTATGGAATAGGAAAGGGAGGAAGAAAGAGACGGGTTAATCAGGAGCTGCTATCTGGTGAAGATTGCCCGAGCCTGGAGTGATGCCTGGCATTGATTAATCAATATTCTATCCTGGTGTTTAACAAGTGTTCCATCCAAAAAGTCTTCTGTAATACTTAACTCTGCTTCCTTCAGCTTCAATTTATGCTCATTTCTTTTATTCTCTCTTCCAGAGAACCAGACAGCAGCCAGTAACAAAACACTCCTTATTCATATATATAAAGTGGTTTGAGTTTTTTTGGGCTTCCCCCGCCCCCTTTTGTCTGTTATGCCTCAGTCCTCTCCAGGCAAAAGGAAAACAAACAAACAAAAATTAATTTAAGCATTCCTCAAAGGGCCTAGTTAATTTGACTTCTTAATAATTAATAAGCATGGATACTGTTCTTCAAGCATTTACTCTTTGGAAAGAAATGTAATAATTTTGACAGAGCTGAGCAAAGACTAATTCAATTTCTGTTTTCATACACAATTTGGGATCTGAATCCCAAAAGAAAATGCTGTGAAAATAAGAAAATTGGGAGGAGAAAATTAACAATAGTATCACCAAGGTTATTTAGGCTGGTGATTTTATTCATCTGTATTAACTACAGGCTTAAATCATAACTCTCATTATTGCTTTTTGATTGTTTGGAAAAGAGGTACCTCTGTTTTGTGGGGGGTTTTTTGTATGTTTTGCTTTTTTTTTTCCTCTCGTAACAGTACTGAAACATAATTCCACAAGATTTGGAGATGATCTTTTGTTTGTTTTAGGTATTTCACAAAGACCTCTGTTTCTTTTCCCTGCATCAAAAAGCTACTTGGAGGGCGGGGGGAAGGAGGGGGTGGCGCCTTGTAGTCCATGCTGAAATTGATCTGCAGTACATGTGGAGTCTCTTAGGGCATATTTAAATTTAGTAATTTTATTGCTAACTGTGAAGTTAATCTGCCCTGTATGGGTTCTTTCCCCCAGGAAACTGAAGCAGCAGTTCAAGCTAAACAGCCAGATGTGGAAAGGATTTTGTCTAAAGGGCAGCATTTGTACAAGGAAAAACCAGCCAGTCAGCCAGTAAAGGTAATGATGCAACTTCTAGCAATATTCATGACCTTGTAATGGGCTGTGCGCCCCTCGTTGGCCATTTGCCATTAACAGGCTCTATTTGTAATCAATGAAATAACTTGTAAATTAGGGTGCCTTGATCAAAAAGACAGCCCTGCCACACCACAATGGCAGAGGCAGAGCTGCCTTTTTGATCAAAATATCCTATTTATACATTGTGATCTTAAGGCTATTAACGAGTCACTGCATTAAAGGACTCATTTCTGTCCTGGTGCGCCGCTATCAATACAAAAAGTAGTCCTACCTTCAAGGTAGATTAAATTCTTCGGGGCTTTATTGCTTTGCTTGCCATCCTTGATGTTTTTCATATTGTTTGGCTTAATTCAAATCAAGCTGCTGCATCATACTGTCTGTCGTGGAGAGCTGTAAAGAATCACAATATGGTCCATGACCTTTCTTTTCTCGGTTGCTCTTTCTTCGAAAAGAGCAAACTCGGCATTTGGGCCTCGGTACTTTATTGGGTCAAGAATTTTTAGTGAAATGCCATGCAATCGCCCCTATCTCTTTGGTCGCCAGCCGACCTGGGAGCTTTCTGATTCTTTGCCCTCTTTCGCGTGTATTGCAAGACTCATTTATTCACAGGCCATTACGCAAGGAGCCAAATGGAAAGCCATCAGGAGATGGTGAATCAATGGCGCCCATTTGCAAATGAGAGTCCAGTGATGAATAAACGTTAGGTATAGGCTACCTTATTTTCTGTACCTGACCAAAATGATAATGATGCCCATTATGATGAAGGCTCCCAAGAGCCTGTAATGGGGGCTGTTTATTGATCCGCCCTGGTTTCTCCAACTAATGTTGCAGGCTGAGATTTAGTGAGCCCTCACCCTCATGTTTAAAACTGCTCTCAAACAGTGCCGGTCAATACCCTCATTATACAGTACCAGTTTGTTCTTGCAAAGAGCATTACTATGACTTATACTCCATCTGGAAGGTCACCGCTTAGTTTCCCTGCTGTTTGCGCCAAGTTTCATTTCTAGAAAATTGTTTGTTTTTCTTACAGTTTACAAGGGGCTTTTCCTTAGGTAAATGTGCTGGTTTAGATAGAACTTTTTGCATCAACACCAGATGCGGAAAGGCTGCAGGTTTCTCTGTAAATCCTGTGGTGCGTTTGTTCTGGAATAAATTCTCCCCACTCCCTGGAGTTGCAGAGAGAACCATTTTTATAAATTAACATTACTAGGATTGGCCTTTAGAATTTGGAATCTTGGAGGAAGTCCTGGAAGCCACACATTTGAGAGTTTGCGCTTAACTTTTTGAAGAGAGCCATTGGAAGCCTCACTGAGATGTAGAAATGAGCCATTGCACAGGGTTTGATCTACCCACTCTTGAGTTTGGAGGAGAGTAAACGCATCAAGCTGATCGTGGCAAAAGGGAAAAATTGATTTGTGCAAAGGTGGAGGTGGTGGGAGAAGAAGGAGCTGTAACTCAGGCAATTTTGGTTATGAACCAAGACGTTGGAAACAACTAAAGATTAGCAGAGATTTTGGCAGCCTCAACGCTAAAAGTAAAGACACTCCATAGCAACCTTACAATACAGAGCAGAACAACTCTCAAAAGATTTCTAAGGGGAGGATGGGTGGGGACGAAATCACAGGGTCTCATAATTTGGTGGGTGGAGGGAGGGGGATAAAGGAAATGAGAAAGATTTGTCAGGGACCGGGAAAGGACTGGGTAACGATGGACATAGTCCAGTGATGGTTGTGTGAAGCACAATGTGAATGAACAATAGTGTGAAACACAATGTGTATGAACTTTGTAAGCAAACTAATATAAAATAATATAAAATATTTTTTTACGAAAAGGTTTCCAAAGCTGTAAACCTTTATGAAAACAGAGTGCCATTTTTATTTATTTTTAAATTATTTTTTTGTGTGTGTGGAACAGCTGGTGAGTTTGAACCTCTGACCTTTTGTTTACCTGAAGAGTAAAACTGCTTAACAGTTGTGCCACTGGGGGTCTCTGAATAGTCTAAAAGTCATTGCCATAGAGTTGGAATTAAGAGTTGATGCTCCAGAAGGTTTTCAGAAGCTATAAATCACGTGGGAGGAAATTGCCAATTTTTCTCCCACATGAGACATACACTTGTCATTAGTTTTAGTGTTGAGGCTCAAAAGCAAGGTCACAGTTCAGAACATGATACAAGACAGAAAGCTGTGAGGGCTGTTGATATCTCGGTGTTAGTCAAAACTCTCTGTTTTAAGGTTAGGGATGAGGTTTCATTTGGTTTTGGGTTGGTTGTTTATTTTTTTCTTTGTTGTTGAGAGTAAATGAACAAAACAAGGTCGCAACTTTGATTTCCCATAGCAACCCTTGTACAGTAGCTCTGATGCTGGCCCTGTCCTGAGCCAGTCTCACTGACTCCAACACACTAACCCCATCCCCCCAGTCACTGTATCAGTCCGTCTCATCCAAGGTCTTCCTCTCCTATGTTGTCTTTCCACCTTTCAAGCATGATGTCCTTCTCCAAGATTTGGTCACTCCTGGCCATGCACCCAAAGTATGTGAGACAGAGCTTCAAAATCCTAGCCTCCAAGGAGAAACTTGGTTCCTATAGAGAGATGTGGGGAGATAATGCTTCTTCTCCTTAATTTTCTCTTCATTTAAGGGAAAGAGAAAGGGTCAGCGAGACCTGCAGTATATTTTATTGAGAGAAGTTTGAGTTTACTTCCTTGGTGTAGGAACATTAAGAAACTACAACAATTATGAAGAAAATGATATTCTTAAAAAAAAGAAAGAATTCCTCGGCACTCAAGAGCCAGTATTTAAATGGTGATTAGTAGATCCATCATTTACAGACATTCTAATTTGGGACACATGAAAGAATAATTCTGTTTCTTAGGAAATTGACTGTCTATTGGCACCTCCTCATTCTGCATAAGACAGACTGTTCCGCTCCCACGCTCACCTCCCAAGCTCTGTCCTGATTGGACAAGCTTCTCCCTGCTCAATTTCCTTCCTTTTATGTCTCCTCTTTACTTCATCAGCTTCTCCAGGCTCTCCTTCATTTTCAAAGATGGTAAAATGTTAGTTTCCTTTTTAAACCCTGACTCACCAATTTATTTCTTATGTTATTTGAGGACTTTCTCTTCAAAGCTATGTGGATAGTATATGAGACATTTTCCTTAATGATACAAATATAGTTAGTTAATGCAAAATTGCAAGGGGAAAAATACAATAGGATAGGAGAAAAATGAAGTATCCGTGTTTCTCTCTCACTCTCTCTTACTCTTTTTCTCTGTCACTTAGAATTTATTCCTCAGAAACTGTTGCAAATTGGTTGGATAAGTTGAATAAATTGTGCCAAGTTGTGCTGAAGTTATACCTTGGCTTATAACTGCTTTTATGACACTGCTGTCATTGGAAAGAATTTCTAATATGTTCCATTTTCCACAGAGTAATAGCCAGGTCCTCAATAGAACCTTACTTACAAGTTAAAAAGCAACAGAAACCATTTGTTACTTGGTTTTTTAAGTAGTGTTGGGTGTTTTTTTCTTAAAAAACCCCCAAACCTCCTTTTTGAAACTAAGCATTTAGATGCTGTTTTCTTCTACTCATACTTAGGCTTTCACTTACCTTCGAAAAGTCTTCCTTTTGTTAGAATTTCCTGAATTCATGCATGTGCTTGAAAAGCCTTCCATTGCCTTCCTTGTACTAGAATTGAGAACATTAATAGAATTTGAAATGTCTTGATTGCTTGCTGACGTGATAACGTGGAACTAGCTGGTATGCTTTGCTAACTTCTTAGGTTATGAAGCCTTGTTTCTGAATGTGAATCTAATACTATATTTACCCTACCGCTCCAGAAATTCTTTTTAAGTGCCACAGCAAAAGGTGTTACAAGTTTTCTTTATCTGACCAAAGGATTCCACCCCAACCTTTCACACAAAAGAACCGCTATAGACAAATGGTCAAGGGGGGTAATTATAATCTTCCAAGCACCATTTCCCCAGATATAAGCTGCAAAATGACAGCATCATTAGTCATTTTCAATTACAGTCAATCACATCCAAGGATGTTTCATTTTCCCAGCTGTTTTGTTGTTAATTAACTAAATTAAGCTGTTTTTTCCCTCCTCCCAATGAGTTTGTTCTACTGCCAACATTGATATCTTAACAATTTCAAGAACTTCCTTAGGGTTTTTTTTTTTTTGTCTGACAATGTTTAATGCATTACTCACAGCAGATGTGTGTCGGAAAATTTATATGTAGTTTAGCAAGCTTTTTAGTGGCTTGTTGGTCAAAATGATACTCATTTTAATATCATTACAATAATAATAATACCATCTGGATTTTGTCTACCATCTATCATGCATTTGATCTCATTTTCCTGATGCTAGTTTTTTTGAACATCAAAATTCAGCAGCGGGGTAACAGAGATAAGTCTGTCTCCCAAAAGAAATTTGGCCATTTTAACTGACTCTTCAAAGGAATTTGGAGAGGACATAAAGGAAGAGAGTCACAAAATAAGAAGGATTTTCTAATTTATTATTACGTGACTGTCAGCATTTCAGCAATGTTGCAACAATGGACTTGTTGTTGTGTACTGTGGAGTCTGAACAGACCTATAGTTGTTGTCATGTTCCATTGAGTCACTTGCAACTCATAGCAACCCTATGCACAGTAACTCTGAACCCTATCCTATCCTGAGCCAATCTCACTGTCTCCAACACACCAACCACAGTGACCCGAGTTACTGTGTCAAACCATCCCATCCAGGATCATCCTCTCCTGAGCTGTTCCTCCACCATTTTAACATGATGTCCTTCTCCAAGTAATGATCCCTCCTGGTAACATGCCCAATGTATATGAGACAGAGCTTCGAAATCTTTGCCTCTAAGGAATAATCTGGTTTCATCCTTTTCAAGACAGACCTGTTTGTTCTCTTAGCAATCCATGGTATGTTCAGTCCTCTTTTGCAGGACCACAACTCAAAGGCATCTATTCTTCTATCAT